CTTAAAGCTTTGTATATTGTTGTCAACAGAAGCATGAAATCATCTAGCACAACACTTGTATATATAAAGGAGGACCTTGAGGGGGACTTAAGATCACACTGTATGAATTCTTTTCCCAGCAACATCCTAGGTCAACTCGAACTCTAACTGAGAATTAATCTTATTTTCATTTTCAACTAAAGAAAAGAAAGAACAGCCAAAGATAAGCTTAACATAGGAAGAAAGAACACTGTACAAAAACAATCCAACTGATGCCAACATTTTATACTATGACTACCAGTTATTCACAAACTAGGCCTTGGCCTCACTGCACGTTACAACCAATAGTTCAAATACAAAATACGGAAATTAAATATATCACATGATTCACATCTGTTCATGTTACTATAATCAAGTATATCTTACTTGAGAACCAGATATTCATAGCAATCCTTCCGGAGGAGGAAACAATCAGTATGAGTGGTATCCCATAGTGTAGGAGCTCTCCACGTCTGAGTTTTGGCTTCCCATTTCAGCGTCTTCATTAGCCTCCCCTCTTTCTCTTCTTCCTTTTCTCCACTTTTGCTTCCGCAGCCAATGATCAACCAGCATTAGACCTAGACCAATAAAAACTGTTCCCAGAGTGCCAATGCTTACAGCCAGTAAAGCTACAAGCACCCATTCTTTTTCTAAACTATGTGGCATAATCACCCATGTTGCTGCAACATAACTTGTTGCCATGAATGCCACAGCTACCCACATGATCTTGTGAGCAACCACCAACAGTCTTATCAATGGCTTTCTTCGATATGGGATGATACTGACAAGAACAACAACTATCGAGAGCGATGTGAACAGCGCAACATAATTGCTTATTGCAAAGACCTTGAAAGCTGTTGTTCTTCCTGCCACTGACTTCCCATCCTGTGAGACACCACCAGGGGGGCTGATACCAGCAGCAAAAGTAACTGTTGCAATCAAACTTGCAACAAGTGTTATAGTGTTCCTGGCATTTTGTAGTGCCTCTCTATATGTCTTATGCTGCTTCCTTTTGGGGTCATAGAAAATCTCACTAGGGTTCTTGTGTTGTCTCTCAGTTGGCAATAGGGACTCTGGCGTTTGTGGTTGATAGTGAAGTCCCTCCCGTATGTCATGCCAAGGTGATGAGTTCCTAGATTGTGGTGATGGAAGCATAGGTGAAGATTTGCTAGATTGGGGTGATGGCAAACTAGATGACTTTCTAGATAGGGGTGATGATAAACTAGATGGGGTCTTGGATGCAGGATGAACTATTTCATTTATAATGGAAACCTGCAATTCATGCTCTTTAACAAATTTGGCTCTTTTTGGCACCTTCTCAAGGATTGACACTGATTGAGCACTGACTCTATCTACTTTTGCTGAATGTGATAACAACTCAATGCTCCTTTTACCTCCTGCTTTCACGAACAAGGCTTCAAGACGCCGATTTTCTACACTGTCCTTGGCCTGGACGAGAATGTCAAGTGCTGTGAGTCCTTCACAGTTTCGAGAATTAATCTCCACTCTTGTTTTGTTGATTATGTACTCTGCTATCTGGAACAAACGTGAATATATAGTTAAAATCCATCCTTGAACATCCATGAAAAATATGATAAACGATTTTGTCTATACTTGTAGAACATAAGCTGCGAATGATATTTCTATATTTGTTTTTGTGATAATTTTAAACAAATCTAAACATATAACGAAGAAGGGACAAGACCGCAGAAACACAAAAGTCCATGAAGAGACTACAAGATGCAAGTAAGACTAAGAGAGGTTCCTGAATCATGGACTCTCAATGGCACAACATTTAAATTAGTTCCAGCAGTTCATGTTCTATATTCCTGGTCAGAAACCAATCACCATTGTTTAATGCAAATTCATCTCTCACCTGATTCTGTGCTCCAGAAACTGCAACATGTAAGATGGTATTACCAAAACGATCTCGACAATTGAAGAGATTCATCCCATTGCAGACAAGGATAAGGAAAACTAAAGCAGCATATTGACCATATTTCACAGCCAAGTGAAATACTGTCTCTCCATCTTTTGTGACAAATTGAAAAGATGCTGGAGCCATCGAGACAAATCCTTCAATGACTGAAGCTCTGTAGTTTATTGCTGCCAAGTGCAATGGTGTGTGACCATTGTTATTGTATTGCTGTGCAAGTTTTGGATCAAGCCTTAGGAGCATCCAGGTCATCTCCCTATGCCCTTTGCTAGATGCATAGTGCAATGGTGAATTACCATTCTCATCAATTGCAGAAGCAAGGTCAGGACACACTCTTAGCAACTCTCCAACAACATCTGCGCCAGCAATACTGATTTCATTAAACATGTACAAAGTACGTGGATTGACTGAAAAGTTAACTAAAACGCAAATTTACATGTCAATTTGAATGAGAGAATTTTACTACTTACTTATGTGTCCACCAGACAGAGCCACACAGATACAAGTTTCAAGCCCATCTTCGGCCAAACCTAGCATCCCGGGCTCATTCAGTAGGAGATTCACCACATCAACATGGCCATAGCTGCAAGCCAAGAAAAGTGCACTCTTCTTTTCACTGTTAAGCTTAGTAGCTGCCCCAGCATTGGCCCCAAGTAACAGCTTTAAGACCTCTGCATTCCCTATTCGACAAGCTTCGTGGACTGGAGTTTCCAGGTCCTTATTCTCAGCAGCAACCATATCAGGCCGTGACTTGACAATTGCAGACACCATGGAATGGTGTCCAAATTTTGACACAAGGTGTAATGGTGTGTTGCAAGTATCAGCTTCTCTTTGCTCAAGAATTCCTTCATACTTTTCCACCAAGCTAATAAATGTGGGTATATCATTTCTCTTCATTGCCTCTACAAGCCTTGTATCCATTGTAAACGTTCAAAAGGTTTCCTTTCTTTTTTGTTTTTTTAGTAAAGAGGAAGATGAGTACACAACTAATTTCCAAACAACTATATATAGGAAAGAATTGGAAGGCACCCTGAAATTTTGCTACAAGTGGGAAAGGCAGAGAAATTGATAGACGTTGACAAACAAGTAAATACTTAAGCGTGAGAGGGGGTGCACGTGGTTGGATGGCTTGACTTTTTAAATGTATCTCAAAGGATTGTGTTCATAAATAAAGTTCTCAGCATCTTCAAAGAAAATTCATGTTGACAAGAGTCGAGATAAACAATATTTGCAAAACTTTAAAATCTGCATAAGACGAGAAAAAAAAAACCCAAAAAAGAAGGGTCACTGCTTGCCCCTCCTTCCTTAGAAGGACGAAGACATTCATTTTTTCTGCAAATCACAGCTTGATACATATATATAGAAAACAATTCATCAAAAGTACAGAACGAAAAATTTCTGTACACAAATCAAACTGTATTGGCAGGAAAGAAAGTAACAGTTCCTACTTCGAGGGCAAAGAAGAAAGTATTTTCCAAAAAGAAGCCATAAGTTCAATGGTAGTTGTTGGTTTGGATATGATATTATGATGTAATTGGTTACGTGTGCCACATTGTCATCCCTTCCATGTTCACTGCAATTTCAGTGATGGAAATTTTTTTTGCAGCAAATGGGAGGAAAATGAAGCTGATGGAAATGGGGCTTCTAGAGAATGACAGACACTTGGGGCCCCAATTAAAGCATATTAATCACAAAACCGCGTTAAGTATTAGAAAAAGAAACACACGAGAGACAAGAGACAGAGCATTAAACACTTTGGCAGAAAATCAAAACTACTTCAACCATTAGATACTTCATGTCTACTTCATCAAAGCAAAAGTTAAGTAACCCTACCACCCCCAAAAAGGATATGATGTTTCATACATTTGAGAAGAAATTGCATACTGTTTTCTATTATTTACAATAATGTGGCTCTGTATATACGCAGAATGGAGAAAGAAGATACTCAGTTAGCGCTGCAAATGAGCCAAACCAAGAAGGCATTTTGTAGTTGTGTAAGCAAAAGCTCTAAATTGTCAAACCATGTATTTGATTTAGAAGTAACTTGAGTTGAGTCCCTTGACTTGGGGGTTCTGGAAAAACATAGCCAAAGTTTTAGTCAACTTAATTAAAGTAACAATTTAGGGAAAAATAAACAATATTAGGGAGGAGGAATTGAAGACTCCCCACCATTATTCCTAAAATACCCTTCACAAATTAAATGACACAAAAGGTTAATCCAACTCTCTTCTCCAAGTCGCCCCCAACCTCTTCCTCTCCTCTCTCATCACCACCATCCCTCCAAGGCATCCGTAAAACCCATCAATTTGTTTTCACCTAATCAAATTTTGCTTTAACATTATCTGCCCAAATTAATTCCCTTTTAATTTACATAAATTTCAAAAGAAGCCGACATATGGATAATGATCACCAACATCCCCACTCTGAAATATTCCAATTTTTATTTCTTTTATAGTTTCAAAAGAGCGCTTCTTCTTTTTTGGATATTGCAGAAACATAAGATGAAGTGTCCAAAAAAATGATAAAAGAAAGGCCACAAATAGAAGAATTCATTTTACATAGTGGTAAATTTGTCTTTAAAATTTTGAGGATTAGGTGGGTGGGGAAATAGGACATGAGGATGGAAATAGTAGCACTCTTTAAAAAGCCACTTTTGTTCATATGTGCTTTATTATAAGTTATAGTGTTTCCCGGAAAAAATAAATAGTTGAAAGTAACTTCTTACAAAGTACCTAGTGCTTATCCACGCGTTTTTTCTTTTGCATCCCCACCAATTAGGGTGTTCTTGGGACTTCAACCCAATGGATTAGGTATGAAGGACAAAAATCGAGTATGAGGACAGATTTAGGGAAATTTGGAGTACGGTGTTTAGGGCGTATATAAAGACTCATTTCTCTTTCGTTCGAATCACAGTTTAACATATATACAAAAATAATATATCATACATACCAAATTGTGATGGAAAAAAAATAAAATAAAGTAGGCTTCTAATGAAAACGAGGCTTTTCATGGGCCAATTTTAGTGCTTTTCCATAGCCCACTTTAGCGGAACAAACACTAGCCCATCACCGCATCCCACCCAACCTCCCGTTCCTCTCCTGTACCAAGCCCTCTTCCAAGTCTCACGTAGAGAGTCCTGCCCTCCTTCAGGTAATCCGGTAAGTTTTGAGCTTTATCTCATTTTCTAAGATTTCCTTCTCTGAGTGACACACAGTCAGTTCATTCTCTTCCATTGCTCTGTTTGCAAGGTTTTTGGATTTTCAGTGAGCTGAATTCAGGGTTTATGCGTGTGTATGTGTTCAATTCTTCTATATGTGCGTGTGTTTGTTAATTTGAACATTTCTATTCAACAGAAGATGGCATGGAGGCAAATATTATTCAGCACAAGAGCTATTTTGGAACCATATTCAACAACCGGGTCTGCCAAATTCTCCACCAAATCAAACCCATACCTAGGTAAGCAAAGATTTTGCTTTTAGGGTTTTGATACGTATTTGTTGATCCTTCCACATTTCTTTGGTTCCCAAGCAAATGATAGAGAATAAGATTTCTGGGTTTTATGAATTTAGTGATTTGCATTTCTTCAAATTTAAATGATACAGTGTCTATGTGGCTAAGTAGCTAGGTGGCATTAGAGGTTTTGTTTGTATGCTGAAAAATTGAAGAAGAGGAAAGAAATGAGAACATAAAGTTTGGGTTCTTGTAATGCTCTATATTTAGGTTTTGATAGAAGTGAGAAGCTTTATTGATCACTTCTCCAAAAACAATAATGAAGAATGGCCCAATGTGGTTTGGTATGCTTATGTTGCCTCGCCTGTATGGTTGCTGAGAAAGTTGGGGACATAAAGAATGGCAAATGAAATCTTGGGCTTTGTAAGTTCATGTTTCTTGTTGATGTAACTATCTATTTAATGAATAATTTTTCTCCCGACTACTAAACATCTGATTTGGGTTCTGTTTTGTACCTTTTCTTTGCAATCAAGAAATTTTGCTTTATTCTCATCTGGTTACTAAAAGATTGAGAACGGTGAAAGTAATTTTTCTCTTGACTACTGAACATCTGATTTGGGTTCTGTTTTGTACCTTTTCTTTGCAATCAAGAAATTTTGCTTTATTCTCATCCGGTTACTAAAAGATTGAGAACGTTGAAGGGAATTGAAAGTGATTAATTTTGTGTAGTAGGCTAAAATGGGCCAGTCTAAGTGTCAGAGTAACAGCCCTTTTTATTTATTTAAATGAAATGGAGGTTTTGTTAGAAAACTTAGAAGAGATAAACTTCTGAACAATAGGTTCAGTGGGAAACCTAAAAATTGGGTTTGTGTGGTTGTTTTTCTTGCAGTGAAGGTTGGAATACCAGAGTTTCTGAATGGAATTGGCAATGGTGTGGAATCCCATGTGTCCAAGCTTGAATCTGAGATTGGTGATTTCCAAAAGCTGCTTGTCACTCGTACTCTCAAGCTGAAGAAACTTGGCATCCCTTGCAAACATGTAATCAATCTCTGAGTTTATCACTTACTCTACAGACACACACATGCCTGCTGGACATTAAACATTAAAATTTCTGTCTTTGTGGTTCATTTCATGATGACAATAATTTGATTACTTCATACAGACATTGTTTAGAAATCTGATATCTGATTTCCGGTTTGTAGAGGAAGCTGATCTTGAAATACACCCACAAGTATAGACTGGGACTCTGGAGGCCTCGAGCTCAAGCGGTCAAATCCTAGTTAGATTACGAGTGGTGTGTGACCTAGTTAGATTAGGAGTGGTGTGTCATCTACACGAAGATTTTGTCTGCTGCAAGATGTTATTGGCAGACACTTTATGTATGGAGCTGTGAAAGAAGAGAGTTTGTGCGGTCAAGATATTCTATTCTTTCTTCACCCTTATTTAAGGTTTCATGAGAAAGCTTATTGAGCAATCTACCTTGGTAATTTCACCAGCCCTTGCTGTGTCTTTGTTGTCAAATTGTTAAAACTCGTAGCAAATGGTTTAGGAAGCCTACAAAATATGATGGTATTGAAGCCTCAAGTGTTTGTGGTTTGTTAAACCCATTATCTGTTTTCAACATACATTATTTCAAAATGTCTTTACTCAAATAATAAACAGTACATACTAACTTAGAAAAATACATTATTTAAGTTATAAATGCATGGGCAACAATGGTTCTACAGCCTTCTATGAATACAAGTTTTTGGATCCCCCTCCAACCATCACAAGCTCAACTGCAAGCAAAAAACAAGCTAGCAATGATCATCTCCGAAATGAAGAACAAGATGCCAGGGCAGGGTTAGCAAAGACTGCAATTGCCAAACTCAAGAGAAGTAATTTACAAGTCAAATGCTCCAAACGCCGGTGGGGGCTCTTCTTGTGTGAGCTTTGCACACTTTGTGGGGTTGAGCTTGCAATTGTAGCCCTTTCTCCTTGCAATAAGCCTTTTCTTTTGACCACTCTCATGTTGACTCCATATCATTGACCCTTTTTTGAGTACTCAACAAATAAGAAAGAAGGGAGCTTCTAGCCAACAAGGTCTAGCTTACTGGAAATAGTCTTGACTTGCAAATCAGTGACCTCATGTTTGAATCTCATGACACCATGACAGTGTGTGTGTGAGAAGAATCTCTCTCCTCCTTTTGTATTAACAAACAAAAAAGGGAGCTTTTATAATGAGGGGACTATATTGAGAGGTTTAAAACCGGCCGTCTAATAAGCCCTCCTTATAATCTCTAATTAGGCCATCGTTAACCCATCAGGCCAAACCCAAAAAATCCCAAATTTTAACCCAATTCCTCTCTCAACCCAAGAAAAGTAAGGGGCTAAAATTTGGGGAAACCCAAACTTGAGGCCAAATACTAGTCCAGCTATTGCCTAAACTAGACTTTTTTTTGGTGGACCCCACACAACCATGATGTAGGCCATTGTGCAAGGAAGAAACAACGGGGCAAACATTGCTGATGCTGCAGAAGCTGTCACGAATGGTGTCACAAGCTGGTTCGCATAACTTTTTTTTTTATATTTTAATTTTTGTTATTATTATTCCAATAGTAAACCAAATCAACTATCCATATTAAATCAAAACTATTTTAACGGTAAAAAAAAAAAGATCAAACGGCTGAAATTTAAATCCAACAGTTAAAATAATATTTTAAATTCATCTAAATCATATCCAACCCGAAACTCACTGCAAACTCTATAAATACCCACCTGTTTCTCAAATAAAATTATATTTATGGAATTTCAATTTTTTGTAGGTCAAATTGTTCAAAAGATTAAATTATGAAGTTATTTAAAAAGAATAAATGAAGAAAAGTTATCCATGAAAAAAAAAAATTAAACCTAAGCCATTATTAAGTAATTTAATAAAGTTGCAGACTTAAAATTTGAGTCGGGTTGGGAGAAAAATTGGTTTGAGTCCAGACAAATCCCAAATAGTTACTATTTGGAAGATAAAAATTTGAATTTATGGCTAAATGTGTTAGAGAAGGCCTTATAGTGGTGGGGCGGCGCCTCACACAAAAAGTAAACCCATCCGATCAAAAATAAAATGCAAATTTATAAATAAACCCAATCCTAAACATGTATTTATAAAAAAAAACTCAAGCACTATTTAAACATAGAAACACACCCAAAATCAACCTCAAAGTCAACTTTTTGGGTGTGTTTATAAATGGGTTTTGAGTGTATGTAATTATGGGTTTTGGGTGTGTTTATATGTTTAAATAGTACTTGAATTTTTTTATAATTTCAACCCTCATTTTTGGTGTTTTAGTGAAACTCCCAAAATAAAAAGAGAAAAGAAAAGAAGCCCAATCTCTATCGGACCCAGAAAAGCCCAATACGGATTCACCAGCAATACCTAATAAGACTTCACGTCAACGCGTTTTCTACAAGTAGCCCACACTCGGACGGCTTCGGGTTTAACCGTCTCCAGCGTGCTTCGCGCCTCTCGCAGTCTTTCTTGTCACCCTGTTCCCTCTCTGTTTCTCTGTTGCTTACTCTGTTTTCTGTGTCAAACGAAACCATTTGTTTCTCATAGTCATAGCAGGGACCCCATACCAAAACACGCACCTTGTTAGTGTTGTATTTAAAGATGCCTTCTTCAAAGGGAAAAAAATATTCAAAGACCCAATCAAAGTTGTCGAATTCTAACAAGTTTTCTTCACCTGGGTCACTTGATTTCGAAGCTACTGAAGAGAGTTTTGCAGGCTCTCTTGAACTAGCTTCGGTTAAATTCCCATGTCTGATTGGGAACTCTGCTTTCATTGGCCGAGTCACTGATGTTCAGGACGACCCCAAAAGCCGTAAAATTTGGCTTTCAGAGCCTTCCATGGTTGCCTCTTCCTTCACTCCTGGATCCATTGTATCGGTAAGTTTCCACTTTTTTCATGTTCTCTTCGTAAAAAAGAAAAAATCCGAAGTTAGTTTCTTTTGTTGTTGTTGGTTTAACTGTGTCATGTTTTCTTAGGTGTCTCTTCCGTGTTTGAAGAGTAGATTGTCAGATGGATTTCCTCTTAGCTCACTAGCAGATGAATGTGCTAGACGTTTTGGTGTTGATTCTTGTGGGCAGTTAACCGATGACGCAGGGAACTACTTTGCTCTTGCAACGATTTTTCCTTCTTCTAAGGTTTGAATGGCAACTGGGTTACTTTTTTTGATCCCTTTATTTGATATGGCAATTGTGACAAATGGTTTTTCTAAGAACCAGAAAAAAATGCTCACAGCAGATGAATTACCATGCATTAAAGCTTAAAACATATGGCATTAGTGTGCGTCTAAACTCTAAACAGTAAATACCCTTTCTCCAGTACTGGGTGATACTAATCTCCCAAAGGATGTTCCATATATGAACTTGTTTTTGTAAAAGGATGTTCCATATGTCAAGTTGTTTGTTGATTAAAAATAAATACGTTTTTTTGCTGCCTTTGGGAGTTTGGAGTCTGGAATTGTAATGGTTGATTCATTGGAGTAAATTATTGTGTCACAACAATTGGGGTCTGCATTTTTACCCTAGAACCTCTTCTTTACTTTTACTGATGCCTTTATCTCAGGTTACAAAGAACGGAGTGCTATTGTCTTCAAATATTTCAAATACAATGGGTTGTCCTCCATCAGGCAGGGTCATATTCATCCACTCTGTACAAAATCATTCCCAAGCTGGTCTTTTGTGTGATACAAAAGAAGCACGTAGCACTAAAGTTGATTGCCTCTCGGTATACGACTGCAAGGAGTTAGTTTTGGAGGTGCTTCATTCTAACAATAGATTGATTATGAACAATACCTCTGCCAACTTTTCTTCTGAAAAATCTTGCTATCGTTCTGAAAATGGAATGCTTGCATCCCCTAAGACACCATTGGATCAATCAAAGCTAAGTGTTTCTGATACCAGTCCAGTAACTTCACCACGACGTGGGGAGTCAGTAGGAAATGTAACCATTCCCAATGAGTCATGTGTTGATTCTTTTGATATTGAAGAGGTTTTAAGGGATGACAGTACAAAAAGACTTCTGCAGACATGTGCTACAACATGGTTGTATTCTCGCTGTCTACTTATTGGAAATTTTGTGACCATCCCAATGCTTTCACAGCTTTGTTTACTCCGAGTGATTGGTGCTAAAACTTTGTCAAAGAATGAGGCTTCTGAACTAGTGGGCGGTGAAAATGATGCATTTCTAGTGAAGCCAGAAACGAAAGTATGTTTTCATTTGCCATCAAACCCAGCCAATAATCTATCTACAGGAGATAACATTTCAAGATTGGGCGGTCTTTCTAAAGAATATGCAGTTTTGAAGGAAATCATAATTTCATCTGCTACAGACTCTTTGTCAAGGTACGTCATATCAAACATTATTGTTTCTCAAGAGTGTACCCGAAATTTGCATGTGATTCAATCTAAATTACCAAATAATAAGGCATTACAATGTCGTCTGATTTGTATATAAGAAATATAGCCGATCTTTGGAAAATATAAAAATTGTAATTCTTGTCTTCCATACCAATTTAGTTGTTCACATGGTGGTGGAAACATATGGTTTTGATATGTGTTCATAAGTTATGGTCGTTCTTTTATTACATTAATTCAGGCATATCTTTTTTAAATAGCTATGATTTTCGACCTATAAGGGGAGTGGTTCTTCACGGTCCGCCTGGTACTGGAAAGACTTCTTTGGCTCGATTATGTGCCTGTGATTCTGGCATCAATTTTTTCTCTGTCAATGTACCTCAAAGTGAGCAAGATTTGATTGAAGTTTTCGACTCAGCTAGACGGGCTGCACCTTCTGTGGTTAGGTTTCTTCTCTGTTTCAATTTTCTAGCCTTTTATTGGAAGGGTTTTCTGGTTAGAACTTAGATGCATGTGGTGGTAAAGGAAAATATACAATTATGTACTTTCATTCCACAGGCAAAACTGTGTTAATCCTTTTCATGTGCACTATTGATATTGGCCCAGGCCTTTAGTCATTGTGAACCCTGATGTGATCTCTGTAGATAGCTCATTAAATGTCTCAAACAATTATGGCACAGGTTTTCCCTGGAATTTTTGGAAATTATAAGAGTTTACAGAAAGTTAGAAATTAAGATTGTTAATCCGCAAATTCTAGAGACTATACTAGGGATACGCTGAAAATTGCATGAACTTGGGGTCCTTTTTTGTGGGATGATTAATTTTGTATATCAAAACCTAACACCCACCTACATACTCTCTACGTGCAAAATTGCCTAATAAAACTGAATCAAATCTTCGACAATGTAACGGAATACTGGAAAAGCTGTATCATTTTGTAAGTGAATATATATTTTGTGGAACGTAGTTTAATTAATTTGATTATATTACCCAGTTTTTGCCTTTGATAGACTAGTTGATTCAGTATCACATATCTTTACTTCGTTTTCTTTAATGGATTGTGTCCACAGGTATTCATTGAAGAGATTGATGCTATTGCACCTGCAAGGAAAGATGGAGGTGAAGAGCTATCTGAAAGAATAGTTGTTACACTGATGACATTGATGGATGGGATTAGTAGAACTGAAGGAGTAGTTGTAATTGCTACTACCAACGCGCTTGATAGCATTGATCCTGCACTCAGACGAGCTGGAAGATTT